GCAAAAAGTATTCGCCATTGTCATAATAAAAATAAATTTTGCCAAAATAATAATAAATATTTTCGTCGGCACTTACCAGCATACAATCACAAGCACTAAGTCTAACAAAACACCGCCCTTCAAAGCCGATAAAGTTGAACTCTATAAACTCTGCTAACCGCGTATGTCATCTGCGACGCATAGCTCCCGTCACATCGCGGTCCGTTCTGGGCTGAGCTGATCACGGTCTTTTAGAAAATCAGTGGCATTTGGCAATCGTACACAATCCTGCTCACGCTCTTCTTGTATAGTTGAGGTATTGTTTTAGTAGTTAAAAAAATGAAATGGAAGAGGAAACTCGTCTCGACTGCATCGCAGTCTCCCGAAATTCTTTGGAAAAGATCGGTGGAGAACGCGATGTGAGCGCGATGAGCTCGGGAACGTCTAGTGCGAATGCATACATTAGAAAACATGGGAGGAAACTCCACCGCCATTGTCATAATAAAAATAAATTTTGCCCAATTAATAATAAATATTTTCGTCTGCATTTACCAGCATACAATCACAAGCACTAAATCTACTGAAACACTCCCCCTTCAAAACCGATAAAGTTGAACGCTAAAGATTCTGGTAACCGCATATGTCGTCTGCGACGCACAGTTTTAACAAAGCTTTATGCGTTCTGTGCTTAATAGCATGTCAACTGGTTCGCTAAATGAAAACTTCCCTGCCATTTTCAAAACACTCAGCAAACAATTACTAATATAAATGATTTTTTCCTGATCGTCAAGTTTGTTGTTTGTTTGTTTGTTTGTCATAGCCAACTTTTGAATTTTCGATGATTTTAAATAACAGCTACAATATGTATTATTCGAGTTTTTCTTGAAAACGACGAAGTTTGTTTGAAAACTTACAAGAGTAAGAAAAGTTTTAGAATTAAATTCCCCATAAAATAAAATAACTTTTTAAGTCCGTCAACCCCTTTGAAATGCTTAAATTGAACTCTACTTACTGTTGATGATTAATACTCGTGGTACACTTAAAGCTTGTACCAAATTTGATTTTGCTAAGGCCAAATATATATTACTAAGATATTGATTATTTTCGAAATTTGAAACCCAACTTTCAAGGACTTTTCAGGGATGCAGCTTAGTATAAACGTAAGTTGCGTTAAATCACCATATTTTGGGTGCGAAACACCCTGCATATCGCAGTTTCTTTTTCAATGTTGCCGAAGCTAGTAGAAAAGAAAATAGAATATTTTTTTATTCTGAATTTAAAAAGTCTCTAATTTGCCCCATTACACCTACCGTCATTCACCACTACAATATATTTTCGCCAATAAATTGTTTCAAGGTTATCAAATTATTTAAAAGAAATAAACATTTTCTAACAATTGTTCAAAATAGTTGAATGCGCAGCATAACCCTACTTCTTATTCCCTGAGAAACACGAAGAAATTCAAATTCTTTATCACTTAGCATGTTAGTGGCCAAATATACTCTTTCTAATAATTCCTCCCGGGTTACAAAAATAATTTTTGAATGGTCCCATATGCCCCATATATTGTAATCTTGAGGATTAAGATCAGGCAGACGAGATGGTCAGATTGTAGGACGTTGTCCAATCTACCTCTCTGGAAAGTATTCATCCAACCTTTTCTTATGTCCCTACTGTTATGAGCTGGACCCTCATCGATCTTCAAAATACATGTTTCTTCTAATACATTGGCAGGTGCGTCTTTCAAGAAATTTTCAAATTATTTTGTAAAAAAAATTAAATGTTGATTCACTTGTGCTGGAAATTATTACACCGTACTACTTTCAGATTATTATTAGCCGAGCAGGTGTATTATGAAAATTAATTAGCTTATTTTTGTTAAAAGTCGCCTTATCAGCTCAGTGAATCGATGGAAACGTTTTCATTGTTCATTTTCCACCTAGACAATTCTGTCCTAGGTAGAAAATGATGGGTTTTTTAACTCTGATCCCTTTCCTTTAGACTTTGACTATTCGTGTTATCCAAAATGAAAAGCTGGCATTAGTTTTTATATGCATCACTTACTAATTTGTCATTGTGTATTGTTGCTAGTGGAATATTAGTAGCTCTTAACAGTACGTAGAGTTGGATCGTTTTCGAATTGGTTGCACCTTCAAAATTATTGATGCAGATTTCGAAAAAAAACATTTTTTGTCAGTCGTCTATGGACATCTAACGCCTCTTTCACATTGTTTTGCCGGTCGGTAGCCGACCGTCAGACTTGACGGCGACGTTTCTGTGCGTAAAGCTCTATTTAACTATGTGTAATTTAAAATTTTAGTAGTTGTTTTGCCGATTGTTTTAAATACCGATCGGCAAAATAACGTCCGTGTGAAAGAGGCGTAATGTTGGTAACCTTTTTGTGCCGCTGGCGCTTTACCGTTACAAAATCTGATGTCGACATTTGAAAATATTGACACGAGAGCCCTCTTTTTTAGGACAACCCTCACTAAATTTTATAAATAGTTTTATACTGTTCATTAGCATTTAATAAGAGTTCAACATAGATTCATAATTCTACGTCAACTAGGTTTGAAAATATTTAGAGAAAAGCATTTCTTGGAGCTCCCTTCTTGTAGAAAGCATTTTTCGAACCATGCTTATGGGAAAAACGTATTATTGGTTTTAGGAATAGTATCTGCTGGTAAATAATAGCACACTAATTTGGAGAAGTTCCGGCCAGTAGCAACATTCTCACATAAATTTATTTTTTCCTTATCTGATAGTTAAGAAATAGTTATTTACGTTACAAGGCCGGGAAATAGTATATTAAAGTACAAGTCTAGATGTTTACGGAGGAATTTCTAGACGAGTACTTTAATGACATTTCACGGCCGTGTATCGTACAACGTTTTATTTCATACTGTATTGTATTAAAAATGAAATTTTAATGTTTTATTTTACATAACCTGCCTGTATGTAGGTGTTAGCGTGGTTTCCATTCTTGTTTTATCGCATAGCTTTTGATTTAGCTTAGTGATCTAAAAACAAAAATAACAAATTTGACAGTTTGTCATCCCGTGCGTATTTTGTGATAATTTTCGTAAAAAATGAAACAAATCGAGCTAAAATGTGCTGAAGCAACCAGTAAATTGGTGCCTACGAAGTCTTCTGCTCGTTATGAGAAGGAATACCAGCTCTTCAACGTGTTTTTTTAAAGCAGTCCGGGAAGTAAAAATTTTCCGGACTCAGTACTGTAATGAGTTATTTCCCGGACTTAAATGAGTCCGGGAAATAACTCATTACAGTACAGTATGAAATAAATAACCTTTAACAATTTTACAATACATTTTTCAATTTTCTCATCGGACGTGATATATTAAAATAAATGTTTTCTTTGTAATCCTAATAGGTAAATTGAAATTGAATTACAACAATTAAAAATAACTGATAATAAAATAAACATATCAAAAGTACAAATACTAACAAAAAATATACAGGTATTCAGGTATTTTCTAAGCCTTTGTCATAACTTTAAAAAGTTGTTCTTTAGGTCATTTTGAACCAAAAAATATTTTCTTTACTCCAGTCGAATTAAATCACAATACCAGAAAACTTGAAAAAATTATTAGTAGACATTTTTTGCACTTTATTACGGAGAAGGATATGTAGAATGATAATATCAAAACAGTAACTCGAAAGAACTGACGCTAAGTTGGCAAATTGCAAATAACTGGCAAGTATACGTTTTTTTTTTCGCTTTTTTTACTGCCCACGAAATTCCTTCTCTCACGTGCAGGCCGTTCATTAAAGTTAACTTTTACTGCTGCTAGCGCGTTTATTTCATGAACTATCAATGTAAAATTTTTTGAAAATAAAAGTTTAACTTTTCTTTAATTGTCTCTAAAATCCCAGTTCAATACGTCCAATAGTTAATTAAGAATTAACGTTATAAAACAAAAGTTATCTTGGGAACAAAGAGGCATCGGTGATTTCTCTTTTTTAATAAACTCCATTTAATGCAAAAAGAGTGAATTCCCGAGAAGCTTTTGCTTGACCCTGGGACAATTTGTTTATAACGCTGATTTACGCGTCCTACTTTGTTAGTTGTAAAGTAAACTTAATATCAACTTTTTGAAATTCTTCTTTTTCGATACGTTTCTTTGGATCAATTAGAACTTATATCTACGATATTAACTTCTAAAATTAACGTTTAGTAATTAAACGTTGCAAAAAAACGAACGAAATTAAGTAACAAATAGCTGGAGCATCGATTTTACGGTCAAATGAATCGGCCTTTGGCATATATTTGAATTGACCGTCTGTTCCATAAATATCATCAACATCCATCGCTTTTTGCAATAATAATGTGAAATTTTCCAAAACTGATATTTCCGCGTTCGACCTTTATTTTACAGTTAACAAATTAATGAAAAATTACTCTAGAATGATAGGTAATTTAGTTGCCTACAACGTAAAATAATATGCCGATAGGCCACCTAGATTTACGTGTGCAGTAAAAAAAGTGAAAGAACACATAAATTTGCCACTTATTTGCAATATGCCAACGTCACTTCTTTCGAGTTACTTTTTTGATATTATCATTCTACATGTCATAAACTGCAAAAAAATGTCTACTAATAATTTTTTCACTTGTAAACTCTAATTCGACTTAATGAATCAACAAATCTAAATCCGATGTTGAATTTGAAAAAGTACATTTAGGAAATTTTAAAATTTTTATCAAATATCACCTGTATCAATATTATGACTGAAACGCACTTACCAATTTCCCAAAATATTCAGTGGAGTTGAAATATTCGTATTCTCAATTAGTATCTCCGCAACTGGTTGACATATTGGTAAACTTCGGAGATATTTGGCTAAACGTGATATTATTTGAAACTTCAACACTCTGTATTTCTTAAAACTGTGGTTTTAGACTTTTGGTTTATTAAGGATTTTTATAAAATATAAAATGACCCGAGGAACAATCTCATCAAGTTATCACAATTAAAAAACACCTTGTATCACTATTTTAGGTTTCTCAGAAGGCTAGAACTTGGTTTAAAGAAGAAAGAGAGACCGCTTAGTCCTTCAGAAAGTTTTGAAAGTGAAGAGGAATCCCCAAGAGCTACGTCCCCATTACTACAACACACAAAAGGACCAAAAGTAGAAATACTCAAGAGTAGTAGTATTAGTAAATTACAAAAAAGTAATATAAACTCAACCAAAAATTATAAAAGAGGCAGACACAAATCAGGCGAACTTTTATTGCCGCAAGAAATGTTTTTGAAAGTAACCACTTCTGGAAATATATTTTCAGATTAATTCTAATAAGTTTAATAATATTGATAGCTAATATATACTCATATTGAAAACTTACTAATACAATTCTAATCATCGAACAATCATAAATATAAGCGCAATATTGTAAAGTGATCGGAGCTTTTTTAAATTGTTATAAGGATTTATTCTCCGTGCTCAATGACTCATTGATGCATATTGTTAATAGTTCCACATCGATTCTTAGCCCTGGACCTACTAATTAAAATGAGCCTTAACAAATAAACATTTTAAGTAATTACTATTACTTACAATTTCTATATAAGTGCCTATGTCTTGTGTAAAAGAATATATTTCAAATCTGAAAAGAATACGTATAAACATTTTTAAAAATAACGATATACAGATTTTCTTTATTTTTTTTTTTATTTTCACGAAATAACTTTGGAACTTTCAAAGGAAGATCAGACAAAAACTTATACCTATTTATAAGAAGAATCAATTATTTTTGTTCTTATTATTTTGTTCGTTAAACGTTGAATTTTTCAATTTCACTTAAATTTAGAATCAGAATTTCTATTTTAAAAATATATAATTTGCTCTCTGCTCTTGCATTTCTAATTTATTTTAAAGTTAAATAAGTTGATTTTTTTTTAAATCTTATCAAATGAAGTCAAACACGTTTTTATACCAAAAATCTAGGTATGTACAACATATCCAACACCAATAAAACACACTGTTTAACTTCTGTTAGAATTTTTGAGCGACAACCTTCCTCTCGGCAACTTCCATACCGAAGAGACGAAACCTAATTTAAAGAAAGCGCATGTAGGCAGCCTCAAAGCAAAGTAAATTTTACTATCTCTATATTCTCTATACTCTTGTTACTTACTATGCTCATGTTGTCGGTCGCCTTATTCTTGTCATTCATCTTCTTGATTCCCGATCGCACTAAATTACGTCACGAATTAGCGCGGCAATAAACACCCCTTAAAACATTTATTTAGCACATCAAGCTTTAGAAATTAATTTTAAATTAACAGCCTAAGAAATTTCTTATATTTTCAATACGCGTTTATATACAAAAAATGTCTAAAAAATAAGATGAATATGTTTAAAAAATAAAAAATCTTTATTTATGCTTCCAAATCAATTTCGTCGCCTTCAATGTAATCCCCACCCGATACAGTGCACTTATCCCAACGTTTTTTCCAACTCTCGAAACAGTCTAAAAAGTCCTTTTCCGGTATCAATGCTCTCGTCGATTCAGCTTTGATTTCCTCAATCGAGTCGAAACGGTATCCACGGAGTGGTCTTTTGAGTTTAGGGAATAGCCAGAAGTCACTCGGTCCTAAATCAGGCGAATACGGTAGTTGCGGAACAATACGAGTTGAATTTTTGGAGAAATTTTCTTGAATTATTATCAATGCTGTGCGAAACAGTGCATTATCATGATGCAAAAACCAATAATTATCTGTCCATAATTCCAGCTTTTTGCGGCGAATAGCGTCACGCAAACGAAGCATAACACTCAAATAATATTGCTTGTTAACAGTTTGGTCGGTTGGAAGAGATTCACAGTGCACCACACCACGATAATTAAATAAAACTGCCAACATGGCCTTGATTTTTGAGTGACGTTGGCGTGGTTTTTCGGTCTTGGTTCACCTTTTGCACGATATTCAATCGATTGATCGGCTATTTCCGGGTCGTAAACGTAGATGCAAGTTTCTTCTCCAGTAATGACGCGTTTCATGACGTTTTGGTAGTCAGAAATCATTGTTTCACAGATGTTTGTCATATCGGTAAATCGGTGACTGCGTGACTTTTTTAGAATCAAATCAAAACGTGTTCAAATTTTATATGGGTACGTCGCTGATTGCGAGAGTTTTTTGCTAGAAGCCATCATAAAGCAGCAGCCGTAGACTCACCCCAAGCAAAAATTGTAACTATACCCATGGTCTTTATCAAGGGTGTCAGGTGTATTTTTATACTAATAGTATTTACACATACCATTTTTAACTTTTAATATAGATAATTATTAATTAGGTTAAATATCTTACTTACCTAGATTTTTGGTATAAAAAAAACCTGTTTAACAAATATAAAATATATTTTTTTATAAGTAAACATATAATTAAAATGTCCCTACAAAAGATGCAATAAATTCTTGTAATATTTAAAATGTATCACTTTAAAAAAATGTGTAGAATAGATATTTTGTACTAAACGTTTGAAGGGGAAAAATGTATTACAAGTAATAGTTACTAAGGCAGTTATTATTTATTTAAACAAGCTGTTGCTCGAAAAAGAAAGGATATTTTGAGATAAATTTAATAGTACATTGTGTAACGAGTGGGGAAAAGTTGCCAATAGCGCCACGCGGACGCAGTTGACGCACGAGCGAAGCGAGTGCGGAAAGCGCCCGAGTGGCGCTATGGCAACTTTTCCGAACGAGTTGCACATACTATTTTCTATCACAAGTGCGAGTCGTTATGGGACCTATAGCATAGGGGGTTAGGTGCACGGAAAGTGCTACAAAGTACAACAGCGTGATGTTATTTTCATAGCACAACGCTCCAGCTATAGGTCCCATAGCGAGCGCGCGTGATAGAAAAAAAATAATTTAAGCTCTAATGACACCTGTGTACTTCATATACTTACTAATAAGAAAGAACATGAAATTTTTGCAACATTTTTACACAGAAAGAAACTAATTATTTCTTATTAATTTAAGGGTCAGTATTTTGATTTTAGTTAAGGCTTGGGCATACAGAACGCAGACTGGCGTGAGGGGGCAGCGTTTATGTGTTCATCAAGGCAGGCCAGTCACCAATCTGGTGATGCCACATTAGACTTGTAGTGGTACGATAAAACAAATTGGCTATGTTGTTTCTGCTCAGAAAAAGCTAAAATTAAATTATGAGTAAAAGTATATGAAATATATATGAATACCTATTCACAGCCTAATAAGTCTTAACCATTATTCAAAATCTTAGTCCGAAAAGTAGAAAAATGATCCATTTTGCCAACGAAGCCTATCTACATAATAATTATTATATAGAGTCTGAAAACGCAAAATTAACTGAAGTGTGATTTTCAAATGAAATTTTAAAACGTTTACAAAAGTGACGAATAGTAATTTCGACCGCAATGGCAAAAATATTGGATATAATTAAAAACGAAATTAATCATAGCATAAAACAGAAAATAAAAAAATCTATATGAAGATATGAATACAAAATCTCTAGAAAAATTAAATTAATTGTATACATTTAATATTACTAGTTTTATACCCAATTCTAGTATTTTCACCCTTAAGTATTATTTGGCAAATTGTTTCAACGTGGATATTAATACTTAAATAGACATTCGAAATTAATTATTAGTCGTCCATATTTTAATTAAAAAGAAAATTGTATTTTTGCTTCATTCATTTATAAAAATAAAGGGATTTAGAGCAAACTATATAATATTTTAAAAATACCTAGGTAATTCCTGTTACTAAATAATATTTATTGTTAGTAAACTGATTTAAAAAAATAAATAAATATAAAACATTGTATATAAACTTGTCCATTAATCATAAAAGTAAATCTTATAAATATGTTGAAATATATCTAAGCAAAACAAATTATAGCGCCATGAAGGCTTGTATATGAGACTGATTTTCTACTATATAGATATATCCATCTATTGTTAAAGGAAAGAGTTCCACTTTCATATTTTCACTTTGCACTTTCCCCTTATTAAAATTATAAAATATTATTCGTATCTCATCCAAAATAAATTTGAGAAAGCAGTACATAGTATTCAATAATAATTAGTATGTATTGAGCAAAGATGTATATAGATAGTAGTACTATATTCCTTATTAATAGTAATAATAAATATTTATTGTTAAAATAAGGTAAACATTGTCATCGTAAAAGTTTATTCTAAAACAATTGTGTATGTACGATTTAACAAACGTATATTGATATTGGCCTAATTACAAAATTTCTTGAAACTAGTATAGTTTTATAAAACATACCGTTATACCGCAATAGCATATATCCGAGGTTAAAAGTGCTAATGTAATTATTTAGTAAATTGCACTTTAACAATACTATTAAGCCAAATGTTTGTACGTTACTTTTATGGCATATTCTTTTGACCGTATTGGACTTGTACGTCATTAGGTCTGTTTATACTGATGGTTTTCTCCAGAGTCAAATTTATACGATCAGTTTTATATTTCACAAGTTTCAAGTAGATCTTTTTACGGGCAACTAAAGAAACTAGGTGCCTCATGCGGAACTTTCAACATACAATTAGTGAAAACTGTGCACCTCACTATGAAAAAATGTTTTAGTAAATTTTCTTCCGATATCAATGCAATGCGGATAAACTAATTAATGCTTCAGAGATATAAAGCAAAGAATATGTTGTTCTCATGGCCCGAAAATCCACAGTTTTCTAGATAACAGAAGTTAAAATACTACTTTTTGCAGCTCGATTATACCAACAGAAAAGATCGTGGGAGTTTCTAGGTGTCTTTTTGGTCTTTGATTCAATCTGGGTACATTTTCGGATACGGATTTCAGATGGTACTAACAGACCCGACCAATGAAAAGCTGAGTTAATTTCTTATAAAAAGATTATGATTGAAGCAAAGCCGAGTGTTCTCATTCATATCTGCATCTGGTAAATCAAGTGCATCGCGCCTGAAAATCATAATTTTTTTTTTATTATCTCTGTCATTACCAATACGAGGCATTTGAAGGGCATGACCCTGAAGATCACAAGCAAAACAACGAAGTCTTTGAGCCATTGCTATTACTCGATGTTTGAAATAACTATTCTGTTCTACAGGTATGATACATATCAGGAATAATGAGGATATCGAAGAGGTATTACAAAGCAGAATTAAATAACCAGTTCGCTATTATTTCCATGGAGGAAACTATTTCAAAATTGAATACAGTTTTGAAATTAACGTTGGACTGATTGGTCACAGATGTAAAATGATAAATGGAAGAAAAAGAACATCGAGTATTAGTTGA